GTTATTTTGAGTGGGCACTTAAGATTCATTAGCTTGACAAAAGATCTGCTTCTGGTGGGAATGAAAATTGCTAGAACTGGTTTGTTGATATAGATCAGCACAGATGCATTTTTGGATTCTGAATTAGATTGGGGCTTCAAGGACTCATATGGTGAATACCGTATTTTGTTGCTTTGTGCCTTCAAGTCAGTTCTGACTTCTGGAAACACTGAGGCGGTGTTTCTCAACCTGGGGGTAGGGATCCCTGGGGGGTTGCGAGGAGATGTCAGAGGGGTTGTCAAAGACCATCAGGAAACACAGTCTTTTCTGTTGGTTATGGGGGTTCTGTGTGGGAAATTTGGTTCAATTCTATCATTGGTGGGGTTCAAAATGCTCTTTGATTGTAGGTGAACTATAAATCCCTGCAACTACAACTCCCAAATGACAAAATCAATGCTCCCCCAACCACACCAGCATTCATATTTGGGTGGATCAGGCATTTGTGCCAAATTTGGTCCAGTGAATGAAAATACAGCCTGCATATCAGATATTTACATTACGATTCATAACAGTAGCAAAATTAGAGTTATAAAGTAGCAACAAAAAATGTTGTTGTAGGTTTTTCGGGCTATATAGCCATGTTCTAGAGGCATTCTCTCCTGACGTTTCGCCTGCATCTATGGCAAGCATCCTGTAACTAAGGATGGACCTCACTACCTCTGAGGATGCTTGCCATAGATGCAGGTGAAACGTCAGGAGAAATGCCTCTAGAACATGGTCCTATAGCCCAAAAAACCCCACAAGAACCTAGTGATTCCAGCCATGAAAGCCTTCAACAATACATAGAAAAAATAATTTTATGTTGGGGGTCACCACAACAGGAGGAACTGTATTAAGGGGTTGTGGCATTAGGAAGGTTGAGAAACACTGCGATAAGGCAAACTTATCATAGGATTTCTGGGGCTGGGAGTATGTGGCTTGCTCAGGGTCACTCAGTGGGTTTTCATGACGGAGCAAGAACCTGAACCCTGTTCTCCAGAGTCATAGTCCAACACTCAAACCACTACACCACACTGGCTCTTGAATATTACACTACAGGCAGTCCGTGAATTACAAACATATGACTTACAAATGACTCATAGTTACAAATGGGAGTGAGAGAAATCTACCTCTAGGAAGAGAAATTTACTCCAGAAAGAATCATCATGAGAAAAAGGTATCTCCACTGAAGCTTTCTCACCAGTTCTTGTTTCCACAACAAGCCAACTTTTAAAAAATCCAATTATAACAAAGACAGAAAGCGAAGTGAAATCTTCTGAACAGGGACACAGACAGCAAAACAAACACCACAAGGGTGGTGCTATCCCAAGCTTAAAAATACGATTTTTTGTCCACATCTATGGCAGGCATCCTCAGAGGCTCTAAGGATGCTTGCCATCAGGGCTGTAGCCAGAGTGGGGGTATTTAAGGTTTTACTCCCCCCCCAACCTGGTTTACTCAAGAATTTTAACTGGTTAATCAAGTTATTAGTAAACCAGGTTTCTTTTTTAACCTGACACGTTTCAGGGCAGGATTAAACTTTTAACGCCCCCCCCCCCCCCCCCCCCCCCCCCCCCCGCCTATAGCCCTGCCTGCCATAGATGTGGGCAAAACATCAGGAGAGAATGCTTCTGGACATGGCTATACAGCCTAGAAAACTCACAGCAACCCAGTGATTCCAGCCATGAAAACCTTTGCCAGCACAAAGATAGTGCTATATGATCCTTATCTCTTTCTCATCTGTTCTTGATGAGCACTGGGATAATTGTCTTCAAGTGCAACCTTCCTACAATTACCTTTAAACAAATGCACCACTTTTTAAATTGCATACCACCTTTTCTGCAATGTTCAGTATTGTCCCTCTCTCTCCACCTCATTTTATCTCCACAACAGATCTTGAGATGGATTAGTCTGAAAAAGACTCTCCCAAAATACTCTGTGAGTTTCATGATGGAGAAAAGATTTAAGCCTGGATCTCCCCGGTGCTTATCCCATTATGAAATTATGCATAGCATGGAGAAAGTGGGCAGGTAAAAGCTTTTCTCCCCTGCATCCAGGGAAGCTAAGTTGTGGGACATTCAGAGTGAATACGGGGAAACCTTCTTTATACAGTGAATAATTAAACTATGGAAAGGGAGACTGGATAAATTCGTAGATAATGGTGCCGACAGTTCTACTAGTCAAGATAGCTGTATGTCACCTGCTGTATTAGGAACAGTGTGCCTTTACTTAATCAGTTGGGAACGTAGGGTTTTTGTACACGGATGAAAAAAAAATCTGATTGGCACCACAATTTCCTGATCCACATCGACTCTGCTGTGACCCTGTTGACACCACACGCATATTGTGGCAAGATTGCCATAACCAGCTATACCTTTCCCCATGCCAAGTTCATCTTGTTCGGGAGCATTCAACATTTCCAAGCCTTTGTATCATTTTCAGGCACACATCAATGGATGCCCCTTTCTCTTCCCACTCCACTCCACTCATACATGCAAATAAATATGTTTTCTGTTAAGAAGATACACATTGATATACTGATATTCAAATGCAAACACATGCACCTCTTAAAAAAACAACATAAAATTCAACCTGAAAAAGAACCACTTCCTGGCAAGAATGCTCATTCCCAACCAACTCATTCCACCTACAACTAACTGCTTTCCTCCATAACATAGCGAAGCAGGCTTCCTGGAGGACTGGCCACATGCCTAAAACTCCAGATTTTCCATGAGTTATGTTAATCCCACAAATGAACATTACATTTTTATTTATATAGATGTACACACACACACACACACACACACACACACATATATATATATATATATACACACACATACATACATACATACATACATACATACATACATGAGGGGTATTTTTTAAGTAAGGTCCATTTGAACATAAGTACACAACGAAAGTTTATTTCAAAAAAGTAAATTTATTTTCAGAAAGTACATACTTCACTCTATTGTTCGACATAGTTGCCAAGTTTGTTCAAACACTTATCATACCAATTTTAAAATATCCTTTTCATACAAACTTGCTGCCTGCTGAAGCCACCAAATCGTCTGTAATCAAAGAAGGGCGACCGGAGCAGTCCTCATCATGGACGTTGTCACGGCCATCTTTGAATTGTCGTACCCACTTACGCACTTTGCTTTCACTCATAACAGTATCACCGTACACTTCACAAATCTGTCGATGAATTTTTGCAGCAGGCAGGTTCCTTGCTGACAAAAACCGTATCACTAAGGGAACCTCACATGCGGAGGGTGAGTTGATAGTCTTAAACATTTTTAAAGCACAAAACAGAACCGTACAGGTTAGCTACAGAGCGGAAACTGAGCACAGTTGTTACTGAGGCATGCTGGTACACAACGCACGCTCTCGTTGTGGTATGCGCACGAACTACTAGTGTCTACAACACAACGGACCTTACTTTAAAAATACCCCTCGAATATATATACACATACATACATACATACGCATACATTCATACATACATATATGTTTTGGATAGCATAGGGAATGGTTAACACCCCTGTGGTGTTTGTTTTGCTATCTGTGCTCCCGTTCAAAAGATTTCACCTCACTTTCTGTCCATGTGATAATTGGATTTTGAAACATTTGACTTGTTATTGACAAGGATTGATGGGAAAGCTTCCGTGGAGACACCTTTTCTCCATGATATCTCTTTCAGGAGTAAATTTCCCTTCCGAGGGGTAGATTTCTCTCATTTCCTGGTAACTTTGACTAGTTTATAAGTTGGATGTTTGTAACTCAGAGACTGCCAGTACTGAAGTGTGTGCATCTATCACTTCTTCAGCCTTGATAGATGGTGGGCAAAATATCCATCTAGAGCAGAGGCGGGTAACTCTGGAAGACCAGGGAGGAGCATTGGTTTCCCAAGATAATGTGACCAAATACACCTTTGCAAAAAGAAATTGTAAGACTTTGTGTGTGTCTAAGGCTTTCGTGGCCGGAATGACTGGGTTGTTGTAGGTTTTTCCGGGCTATATGGCCATGTTCTGGAGGCAATGTGTGTGTGTTTGTGTTTTGGTTTTTTGTGGGGTTTTTTTTTTACTCTCAAGTGCCCTAAACACTAGGAAACATAGGAGTGGGTATTTGCATCATCTTTTGGGACTTTGGGGAACAATGACTTTAAAATAACCCCAGGGATTGAACAAAAATTTCCCATTCCAAGAAAGGTTTCTCTGGGACCTAAATTCACCTGGAGCCTTCCAAAACTTGGTAGAAATGCCCTCCATGCCCCCTAGAGGTTATTTAGAAGCAAAACATATTTAGATTTTTTTTCACTTTTTTCTTTTACTCCTGGAGTGAGCAGGTGGCTTTGAAACATAATGGAAAAGCCCTCTTAATGTGGTGAAAATGCTCTTCACATAGCATAGGGGGCAATTTGACCCTCCTGCTGACAATGGAGCCCATAAAAATGGCCTTGGGGCCCATCACTAAGCACTTTGTCTGCCCCTGACCTGAAGGAAGATAGAATTCAAGCTATGACTTATCACAACCCTACAAATGACAGGCATTGAATAGCTACAGTCACCAATAGCCCTGCTCAAGTCATTCAAAATCAAGGTTGTGGCTTCCTTGATTGAATCCATCCACCTGTAATTCAGTCTTCATTTCCTATTGTTATCAATTTTGCCAAGTATTTTCATATTTTCCAATAAGTCACATATTGTGACACATCAAAAGTACGATAGTCCCAATCTAATCACTGAATTTCTAATGAGAGCTTTGATTTGACAAGTTGCAATATTTGGTGTAAACATTTTCCATGCAGAATACAAATACAACATTTCGAATCCAACATTTGGTGAGGCATTGGAATATTTATATATGAGGTATTTGCTCCAACTTGTATTTCGAGATGAGTCCCTAACATGTACTTCTCAGTCACATGGAACCACAACGTCTTTTGGATTTCTCATTCCGATTGTGGTCCTTGGCAGGTCCTTGACATTGGCGAGTGCCTCACTGTCCCAGATGAGTTTTCCGAGAAAGAGAAGAAAACTGGGATGTGGTGGAAACAACTTATTGCTGGAGCTATGGCTGGTGCTGTCTCTAGGACGGGAACGGCGCCGTTGGACCGGCTGAAAGTGTTCATGCAGGTAAATGTTTTGGGGTGAAGATGGGGTGAATAATATTTTGTTCCGCAGTGAAATCAGGGTCTGTGTGGGAACAATGACTCTGGGCATTTTTCATGACAAAATACCCATACAAAAAATAGTTTTTTGTATGGTGCACTGCATTCAGAAGTCACAGAAGGCTGAGAAATGCGTGAAAAGCATGTTCAGGGAAAGTTTTATTTATGATTTAAGCAATTCCTTACACATTTCAAGGTGGAGGAAGAAGCTAGTGCCAAAACCATCTTCCCAACCTAGCACCCTCTAGGTCTATTGACCTAATACATCTTCATCATCTCTAAAAACCATTGTCAATGACCTAGTGGTTGGGGATGATGAAGAGGTCTTAGTTCAATAGATCTAGGAGGTGCCAGATGTAATCCAACAGAAATGGAAGATAACAGGTTAGACAAGCTGACTAGAAGACAACTGCTTCAAAATTCAACTAGGACACCACCCCTCCAACCACAGACTGGTGTTTCATAGAGAAATTGCCATCAACAGAGCAGGATTGCTTCATTTGTTGCAGATAAATATGTCAGTTAAATGCTGCCAGTGCTGTTTGATTTTTGTTCGATCTGTCACGTATGGCAAACATCACAACAACAAAAAGAAACAATGGTCTACACTTTGGCTTCATACTAAGCTACCTCCATGAGCTGTCCCAGTTCACATGTTGAAATGCATAGTAGGCTGTGATTTTATTAAGAATCATGGAACATGAACCGTTAGGATCACAATCTAATCGTGGTAGCAGAATTTATTTGGTAATGGATGATCACTGGGCATGTAGATATTTTGTTTCTGTTTAATGCTTTCAGCAGACTATGATGCGAGCAGACTTCTTTTAAAGTTTCATTTAGTGATAACATCATGTATTTAAAGATACAGCCACATTTATTGTCAAGGGTTAAAAACTTCAGTATCGTTTCAGAGAGTTTGTATCTTACAATTTTAACAGTTCATAAACTATGTTGCTTTATACAGCTCTCTTTAATAAGAGTTTACTTTCAAATAAAACACAACCCTCAACAGTTTCTAACTTCCTAACATGAGTCTCTGCACTCTAACAGACTTCTACACTCAAGCCATTCAAAAAATCAACACAACACACCTCTCTAACAGTCATTCCTCAACTGACATTCCCTAATTGTCATCCTGTTTAAACCTAAACATTCTAAACTGTCACTGAGTCAGTCATGTGACCTGCAGCCCCTCCCACTGCTTTAGGTATATAGAGATAAGGAAACTGCAAATCAAATAAGACATATACTTCAGGTTATAAAACAACACATTACAAAACAGACAAACATCATATAAAGGAGGCTTGAGAAAGTCACTTCCCCCAATAGATTTTGAAGGCTGAATTCCTCCGTGATACTTATGTACTATGTAACCATAAGGTTGGTGTTATGTAGTGAATTCTGCCCAACTGCCCCAACCCCTATTTATCATGTTCATTCCTGGGCTACACAGTGATGTGATGTCTGAGAGGGCAAAAGATACTGGGCAGGACTTCCGCAATGCTTCTTTGGTCTCATTTGGACACACATAGAATCAAATACAGTTGTTCATGCCTACCATGCTTATAGGAGGGGATTGGAAATTTCTTTTCCTGTCCAAGTACTAACACTGTGGTTCCTCCTGATTGTAGGTGCATGCTTCGAAGAGCAACAACATGAATGTGTTGGGGGGATTGCAAGGCATGATACGTGAAGGAGGCGTCCGCTCACTATGGCGAGGCAATGGCATCAACGTGCTCAAAATTGCACCTGAGTCTGCTATCAAGTTCATGGCCTATGAACAGGTATGGACCCATGGAGTCACCAACTCCAACTTGGAGTGGTCATGCTTATGTCTGTAAGCACCAGGCATACGTTCATGACTACTTCAGCTATTATCTCACTTAGGGACTCTACAGTGATCACGTATTTCTACACACAGGTCCATTGGGAATGTCTTTGCTCCAAACTGAATCTATAAATTTTAATCCCTTCTCTCCCCAGAGCTCTGGAGAATATTTAATCTGAAAGGTAGTTGTAAAATACTCTATGCAAAATAAATACTTTTGTGGAGGTTAGGTTCCTAAGAGACTTCAGTGTGTGAGTTCTTTTATGCAAGCTGCATAAATGATCAAGAACTGCACAAGAGTGAAATAGCTCAAATTTGCCCTGTTTTGGGGGTTTTTTGTGACTGAGTAGGATTGCTAAGATACCAAGGTCTGACCTTTTTTCTCCAGTTCTCAGGACAAGAGGGTGGAATCTGAGGACAGGGGCACTGCCTTGAAGTGTCTTGATACTCAATGTATCATGCGTAATTACATTTCCAGGGCTTGTGTGTTGTGAAATAACAAGGAATCATCTCTTGATCTTAGAGCTTGGCCATGACATGTCAGTCCTAGGATGTTTCAGTCTGGCAACCCTAATTGAGAATCTTCCTTGAGCACAATGCTCCAACCAAATATATGAATGAAACACTCATCCCTACTGCCCTCAGTGACCTCACACACACAGTTTGTAGAGAGTCTGATAACCCTCTAGAATAGAATTGGAGTATTGGTAGAGTATAGAAAAGTACAAAGAGAAGAGTAGACAATGATTTTCAGCTACTTCATTCCACCGGCAAGAATCCCTTGCTCAATCAGAAGCCCCTCTTAGATAGATTCACTCTTGATTATATGTAGGAGACACATGCAGGATCTAATCCTTGGGGCCTTTTGGAAGTCCGCATTGAGTCGCCTGTTAAGGGCTGAAAAATGCGGTATAGAAATAAAGCAAATAAATAAATAAGTCTTCAGAAATATCAGTATGTTGTTAACATGTAAATTACTCGATATGTTTTGATCTGTCCGCAACTTTCTCAAGGCACTGAAAATCAACAATATTTACAAAATCACTAAGACAAATAAAAGTTTTGTTGAAGGCTTTCATGGCCGGAATCACTGGGTTGTTGTAGGTTTTTTTGGGCTATATGGCCATGTTCTAGAGGCATTCTCTCCTGATGTTTTGCCTGCATCTATGGCAAGCATCCTCAGAGGTAGTGAGATGTGTTGGAACTAGGAAAATGGATTTATATATCTGTGGGATGACCAGGGTGGGACAAAGAACTCTTGTCTGTTGGAAATAGGTGTGAATGTTTCAACTGACCACCTTGATTAGCATTTGATGGCCTGGCAGTTGTTTGATGTGGCTTTTTGGTTCCTGGGACCCACCCTGGTCATTCCACAGATATATAAACCCATTTTCCTAGTTCCAACAGACCTTACTACCTCTGAGGATGCTTGCCATAGATGCAGGTGGAACGTCAGGAGAGAATCTCTCTAGAACATGGCCACATAGCCCGAAAAAACCTACAGCAACCCAAATAAAAGTTGCTTGTATGTACAATAAGGGCCTCCTGGTGATTCAGCGCCACTGAGCTGCTGAACTTGCTGACCGAAAGGTTGGTGATTCAAATCTAGGGAGTGGGGTGACCTCCCGCTGTTAGGCCCACCTTCTGCCAACAGCAGTTCGAAAACATGCAAATAAGAGTAGATCAATAGGTGTTGCTTTGACAGGAAGATAACAGCGCTCCATGCAGTCATGCTGGCCACATGACCTTGGAGGTGTCGATGGGCAACACTGGGTCTTCAGCTTAGAAATGAAGATGAGCACCACCCCCCAGAATCGGACATGACTAGACTTAATGTCAGGGGAAACCTTTATCTTTATTATATGTATAATGGGTTCTAGTTATCCACTGGGAAACTCCAGTGTCCGAGTGGCCTTGGCCAAGTCATAATCTCTCAGCCTCAGAAAACCCCAGTTTTCTATATGCAGTTTAGGATTGCCATAAGTCAGAAGCTACTTGAAGGCACACAACAGTATAGAAACAACTATTTGTTATATATTTCTGTCCTGCAAGCAAACCTGTCAATGTTATTACAATACACAACAGTGCGAAGCCATGAAGTGTAATGGGGTACATCTGTGACTTTTCAGGCGTTGTTGACTTCCAGTTCGCATCCTCCTGGCCAATCTGGTCAATTCAGGATAAGAATAACAGTTTATCAATGTCTGGGGGAGAGGAAAAGTTCATCTCCAGCCCAAGCTTTCCCCATTAATCATCTGCTGACATCACACTGCAACAAATGATCACTCCTCTGATGCAAAATACAATTGAGTTTTTCTTCTTCCCACTCACTGCCTTTAGTCACTCTGAACAGGTTTAGGAAGGGCTCCCTATGTTTTCTGCAAGATCTCAAGCCATTGTTTCTTATTGCAGATCAAGCGGGCAATTCGGGGACAGCAAGAGACTCTGAGGGTGCAGGAGAGATTTATTGCTGGTTCACTAGCTGGTGCCACAGCACAGACTATAATCTACCCTATGGAGGTAAGACCAGCGGCCTTCTTTGCTTCCACAGATCTTGAGGGTCAAATTCTTCATCTTGCCCTGGCTTTGTCATTAGGTGGAATGAGGAAATAATTTCAACCGGCAGATAATTTGAGTAGCAGCAAACTGTTGGAGTTGAGCATCTTTGGTGCCGCCTTGGAAAGATAGTAAAGGATATACATAACTCTTGTTCTAGCTGATAAAGCAAATCAGTTGGTTTCTCATTTGAGGGCCCTTCCATACTACACAATAATAGTGCTACACAAATATACTTTAACTGCTATGGCAACACCCAATGGGATCTTGTGATTGGTAGGTCATGGAGGGGCATTGAGAATCTGTAGTTGGAGGGTTTCTTCATCTGGTGTCTTTGTCCAAACCATAAACTCCATCACTCTATATAGGAAGAAGTCATGTAGTCAAAGAGGAATCAAAGTGCTATACAAAGTGCTATCTCAATATTAATGGATTCTGTATCTTTGAAGGCTTTCATTGCCGAAATCACTGGTTTGTTGTGTGTTTTCCGGGCTGTATGGCCATGTTCCAGAAACATTCTCTCCTGACATTTTGCCTCTTTTGGTGACAGGCATCCTCAGAGGTTGTGAGGTCTGGGTTGTTGTAGGTTTTTTCGGGCTATATGGCCATGGTCTAGAGGCATTCTCTCCTGACGTTTCGCCTGCATCTATGGCAAGCATTCTCAGAGGTTGTGAGGTCTGTTGGAACTAGGAAAGTGGGTTTATATATCTGTGGAATGACCAGGGTGAGACAAAGGACTCTTGTCTGCTGGAGCTAGGTGTGAATGTTTCAGCTGGCCACCTTGATTAGCATATAATGGCCTGACAGAGCCTGGGGCAAACTTTTGTTGAGAGGTGATTAGATGTCCTTGTTTGTTTCCTCTCTGTTGTTGTGCTGTTGTAATTTTAGAGTTTTTTAATACTCGTAGCCAGATTTTGTTCATTTTCATGGTTTCTTCCTTTCTGTTGAAATTGTCAACATGCTTGTGTATTTCAATGGCTTCTCACATTCACACTTAGCTCCAGCAGACAAGAGTCCTTCTGAGGATGCTTGCCATAGATTCAGGCGAAACATCAGGAGAGAATGCCTCTAGACCATGGCCATATAGCCCAAAAAAACCTACAACAACCCAGTGATTCCAGCCATGAAAGCCTTCGACTATACGTTGTGAGGTCTGTTGGAAACTAGAAAAATGGGGTTTATAAATCTGTGGAAAATCCAAGGTGGGAGAAAGAACTCCTGTCTGTGGTAGGTGTGAATGGAATGTGGCCATACAGCCTGGAAAACACACAACAACCCAGATTCTTTATCTATCGATTCAGCTATCTAGAGGTTGAAAATACTCGCCATCCACTTCTAGAAAATCCAAGAATCAAGCCTTGATTTTGCCAATTCAGATAAGGGACTCCATTTTACTAAACTGTTGTATATAATGGGACTTGCACATTCATGGGTTTTAATATCCCCAAGGGGTAAAGGATCCAAACCACGGACCTTCTGTATCTGTGTACAGTGTGCCTGTTGTATCCACAGGCTCAGGATCTGCAGATTCAACCCACCATAGATTCAAAGCAGAAGCGACAGCCATCCACTTCTGCCTTGCGACTGAATGAGTAAAGGTCATTACCTCGAAGGGAGAAGCATGTGGTTGGCAAGCTCTCTAGAGGCAGGGAAGCCCTGAGAATGTCTGGTGACTCACTTGACAGCAAGGGCTTGATACTGTCTCTACTGTGCCCTACTCCATTTTATTAATAGCATCTGCATTACTTGCTATCTGCATAGGGTCTTGGAATTAAATCCGCATGAATACTGAAGATTTCTGAGGGCCCACTGGAATAAAAAAGAATTTAATTCCTTCTCATTTAACTAGCGTTACTACTTGATGCAATGGAGGCAGGATCAGAGACTGACATAATACATTAGGTGTCTGCAAACCATGATGTGTCCCACTGCAGCAGTGAGAATGTATAGATCCAACTTAAAAGTAATGGCTTCTCTCAAGCCATCTTTGGAATAATTATTTTGTGACGGTGTTGATAAAATGTTTAATTTTCCTGCATCTAGTCTTGCAAAAATACCATTACAGAATGTCTTGGAGAATATTTTTTTTTAAAAAAATTGGCTTGAAACTGAACTTGGCTGTGGGCAAGAACCAATGCCAAAGTGGATCCCCTTCTGTTCCCTCACCAGTGTTCCTGCTAGAGACACTCCCTTTCCTTCTGTCTTACTTTCTCTTGTGGCTCTTGCATATGCAGCATGTTGCCAGAAGAAAGACAATTTTGCCAGTATTCTGAATTGCTTGCTTGGTTGTGGAGGGCCAAATGCTGTGGGTCCATGAATGTAGACTGTGGGGCCACATGAATTTAGGCAGAGGCCTGCTAGTTGCCTGCCCCTGTTCTTCTGCTTTGTGTCTTACTTTACCCCTAGAGGCCACTCCTGAGGTCAGATGAATGGCCCCCCTTGTGTGCCTTCCCTGAATAAGGAAACAATGCCCTGCTCTGATTAATTTTCTGCAATTGTCCTCAGAAGCACTTTACTACCCGTTGGGTTGGTCTCCCTACATTATCTTTTAAAACCCTCCTGCTTAGATACACCCTACCTCTGTTCACACCCAGTGTTTATTTTAATTTTTTTAATTTATTACATCTGGCCCGGCCATAAGGTTTTAAATTCTCTGTATTATTGTTTATATGTAAGTTATATTAATTGTACTGTTTTATTTGCTTGCTGTTTTGTTTTTACTGATGTGTTGTTGTGCTTGGCTTCATGTAAGCCGTGCTCCTTTGGGGAGATGGTGGCAGGGTATAAATAAAGTATTATTATTATTATTATTATTATTATTATTATTATTATTATTCTCTTCCTCTGACCTGCTTTTCCCTTCCCACTAGGTTCTGAAGACGCGGCTAACCCTTCGCAAGACAGGCCAATACTCAGGAGTGGCTGACTGTGCCAAGAAGATCCTACAAAAGGAAGGGGTCCGTGCCTTCTACAAGGGCTACTTGCCTAACATGCTGGGCATCATCCCCTATGCTGGCATTGACTTGGCAGTTTATGAGGTTGGTGCTTTGTGAGGGTGGCATGAACAAAGGAAGAGCCCCACTTTCTTGCATTTGGCCACTCTTTTGTCAGGGGACAATTCTAGTCCTGGCAGTCCTTCTCTGGAGCCCTTTCTGAAGACAATCTGGCCCCCAATTCTTGGTTCTGTAACAAAAGGGAGATTCCAGCCAGAATCCAGGGCTCAGCGAAAAAGCTGCTTCCTTCCCACCTCTTTTGTGTTCCATGATGCTTGTCTCTCTGCCCTGAATGCCCTCTTGCATGTCTTCTTCTACAGACCCTGAAGAATACCTGGTTGCAGAAGTACAGCAAGAATACTGCTGACCCCGGTGTCCTGGTGCTTTTGGGCTGCGGCACAATCTCCAGCACCTGCGGCCAGATCGCCAGCTACCCCTTAGCACTGGTGCGGACGCGGATGCAGGCGCAAGGTGAGAGTGGAGCGTCTCCCAAATTCAGTCTTCTCTCCAAGAGTGCACTAACGGTGGCCATGGGCTTGGAGCATCATTACTGGCAGACACATTAAATAGGAAATACCTGTAACAATGAGAGAGAATACACCAGGCTGGAGGAATATAAATGGGAGGCACTGAGAAGCGAATACTGAGAGTCTGAAAGGGTTGAGGTTCCACTTCAATCCCTCTTGTGATATATCCTGTGAGAATCAGAACACCATGAGTTGGAGGGAATTCCTTCTAGTCCTGTTATTGCAACCATTCCACCTAACAGCATAGGTCTCAGAATCTTTCCCAGTTATCCTGGGAAAGAAGGGGCAAATCAGTGAGTTCTAGGGAACATTTCTGTCCTGCCGTGGGATGCCACTGCTGGAGCAAAAAAAAATTCAAAAAGTTGCCAGAATTTGGGACAATTCAACTTGTTTTACCAAAAAAAAAAAAATCACATTCCCTGTGATATATCCCCTTTGTTTAGTGGCATGCTCCTTAGTGCCAGGCTCACTGTAAAAGAAAGGCAGGCTTTTTTTTGGTCAGAGGGATAGGTTTGTTAGTTTGTTTCAGCATAAGAAGAAATAAATGCAATAGCAACCAGAGAGAGCCTAAAGATCTATGGAATTGTCAGAGACTATAGAAGGGTATTCATATGCATCACAGTAGTGCACAGTATGTGGCAGAACTTTATTTTTCTATGATGTATTCCCCCCCCCCCCCAAATATTTTCAAACTGTAGTATTTTGAATCCATGAATGCAGAACTCATGGATACTGAGAGCTTATTGTAGTCTTTGAATCTCAACCATCCAAGAAATTTATTTTGTTAGGTGAATATTTTTGGAACCTCTACTTGGAATACCAGATGTAATAAGGGGCATGGCTCTTGGCCCCTTAATGCAGTGGTTCTCAACCATATGTGTATCGAATTGTGCCTTTTGTAAGCCCAAGATGTTTTTGGCCTACAACTCCCAGAAATCCTAACAGCTGGTAAACTAGCTGGGATTTCTGGGAGTTGTAGGCCAAAAACATCTGGCGACCCCAGGTTGAGAACTACTGCCTTAATGGTTATGTAGAAGAGGGGATTTCAGCAGGGCTGTTTGTCATGCAGGCCTCACTTGATGAAATTCCCCTTTGTACACAAACATTATTTCAGCTAGCAACCCTAAGCCCTCTGAGACAGGGAATGTCCCAAATCTATTAGAAATCAAAATAAGAGAGTCATATGTGTATCGAATTGTGCCTTTTGTAAGCCGCCCCGAGTCCCCCCTTGGGGGTTGAGAAGGGCGGAGTAGAAGTGCGAGAAATAAATAATAAATAAATACATTGTACCTGACCTCTTCTTTGTTTCTTTCTCTATAGCATCCATTGAAGGTGCCCCTCAGTTCTCCATGCTGGGCCTCTTCAGGCACATCCTCTCCCGGGAAGGCGTGTTCGGCCTCTACCGTGGCATCGCTCCCAACTTCATGAAAGTAATTCCTGCCGTTAGTATCAGCTACGTTGTGTACGAGAACATGAAGCGGGCTCTGGGGGTGACGTCCAGATGAAGAGGTGCCTGCCTCACCCACTCAGTGGATGGGACCTACCTCTCGAGAAGGGCTATTCCTACATGCAGCATGACGTCAGTCATAGGCAGAAACATAGCCCTACTCCTCCGGGCCCTCGCCCCCAGGAGAATGGGGACTAAAGCATGTTAAAGTGGTTGGGCCTATGTCTTCCTCGATTTCACAACATCAGCGTCTTTCCTGGGCAAGGAGCCCCAAGGAAGAACTCACTTACAAAGAGCCATTGTCCCACTGCAGAAGCCTGGGGCTGAAAAGCACCATGGCCACATTGAAGCAGAGACTTCTATACTGTCCACCTACATTTTGGGGACTTTTGGAGATAAGCCTCTGAAAAGCAGACTTGAGCCAGTGCTCTTCTCTACTACTCTCTGCATGTCTGCCTTCTTCTCGGCTACTCTCCAACATGAAAACCAGCAGCGTGTTTTCGTATTCTGCATATTTCTACCAGCCTCTTCAAGGTCTTGTGGAAGCCAATCGTGTCAACACTATCATTGATACATTGTCAAATCTCAGATAAACAAATGTTCAGTTGCTGAAGCCAGAGACTATGACTCCTCCTCCAATCAATCAGCTATCTCTAAATCTACAGACAATGTATTCAGGGACAGTCAATTGCACTGGAAAAAATACATATTTTTTGAAGTTGCCACCAAGAGCCCAAGATGCCTGAGCATCGGGATTTGAGGATTTGAACAAGCGGTTTCCTGCTTTTGCCTCCATCCTGAATTCCACTTTGATCCTTCTTTTGCTTCTTTTTCTTTCAGATCCAGGAGAGCGGTAAAGCCCTAGGTCTTTGCATTTCAGCCCAATTCCACTTTACCTGCCCCATTCAATGAAACGTGTCTGTATATTTTGCACATGAACTACTTTTAACTTATAAGATGTCTTGTCACTGTCTACCTAGAAGTCTTCAAAAGCAGAACTGAAGCCTCTTTCACCCCAACTTTTGCCTGCTTTCATTCCCTTCCCTTCTCCTCTGAGGTGGGGGAGAATGCAGGAAGAACCTTCAAGGGCTACTGCTTTTGTTTTCTCATCGCTGCACTTTGCCTGCGGTCTCTCAGTTTCTTGCATGCACACATTGCGGCTCACTGTGAGATATTTGCACTGACCACACTGGCTCTATTGCTTAAGAAATGCCACCCTCCATGCCCCCTCCCTCCCAAAGCCACAGGTGTCCTTGCTTTCTTGTCCCAATCCGGTATTGCTGCTTATTGACAGGTGGAAATATGATGGAGGTATCAATTTATCCTGATTCTTTCAAAATGCATTGTTCTGAAAGGCATCTACAAGAGACGGATAGACACAACATCCTCCCACTCCCATTTGAAGCATTGTAGTAAAGGGTTGCCTGGAATGGAATAGTTTAGACCAGTGGTTCTCAACCTGTGGGTCCCCAGATGTTTTGGCCTTCAACTCCCAGAGATCCTAACAGCTATTAAATTGGCTGGGATTTCTGGGAGTTGTAGGCCAAAACACAGGTTGAGAACCACTGGTGTAGACAGTCCTGGAAAATGGCTGCTGCCAACCATTGCAGAAGACAGTCATGGCTCCAGTTGCCCAGAAGATACCAGCTATTCCTCATCCATTGATCTACTGGGCTATGCTAGTATGTTAGTTTTATGCCAAGAAGAGCAGTGTTTCCTATTTTGCCTCATGGTTTAGCTAATCTTGGACTATGTGGGCCCTGGAAGCATCCCCTTCCCCAGTTTGATTATCATGTTACTTTCATGATTTCAGGTGTCTTTTGCATCTGTAAGGACAAGAGACCTACTTTGAAAGGCATAAACTGAAATTCTCAGGAAGGCAAAGCTTAGGCCTAGTACGCACAACCTGCACATTTTTGCTGTTGAGCAAAATGGCGGAACACACATGGTTTGCCAGTAACCACAAGAAGGTACTAAATCCTGAAACATACATCTGGATGCTAATGAGTTGCATTTCCCCAAAGTTTTGTCACCTGGAAATTGAATGTGCATAATTTTAAAATTAAAATGAAGGCACGCTGAGTCCTTAAGCTAAAAAAACCCCTTTTATCTTCATTATTACCTGCCAGAACTGAAGAACAATATCTGCCTTGCAGTTGCTGGACAACTTGGGTAATACAACTTCTTGCAATCCTGCTCCATGAGTCTCAATTTATGGAGAGGGGTTCTGGTTTGGAGGCTATTGTGATGCCGCTGCAAGTTGCATGGCTGGGCTGCTTCATGGAATTTACCCTTCCATATTTTTGGCTGTACACTGACGGAGAGCAAACAAGTGATGTTGACTAAGGTTTCTCCACAGCATTCAAGCACCTACTCCACCACTAAAATCCACTGGGTGACTTTGGGTACTTCCCACAACCTCAGCTTTAGAAAACCTTGTGATAGAGTCATCATAATGTCTTGAAGGCATGCCATATTGGCAACCGAGGCTTCTCCATTTCAGAATTGCAATATAGTACTTCAGCCAATCCCAAGTTGATGTCCTTCAGAAGAATTTAGCTATCACTCCCACAGTGAGTATGAAGATGAGAGTTGCATTCCTTTTCCTTGCGAAAGAAGGCAGGAAAGGAGAATTAGACGCATCCAGCAGACAACTTTTCAGGTTCCAGTTCAGTCCCTCTTATGGCAGATCCTTTGGAATCAGAATCCGGTGAGAACATCATCCTAAAGAAATGGTGGGAAATATGTCATTCTCCAATGTTGTTGGGCTGCATTTTCCACAAAGCTTGGCCAGATGAGGGGTCTGGGGAACTTTTTTTTGTGTGTGTGTCAGGAGCGCCTTGAGAAACTGCAAGTCGCTTCTGGTGTGAGAGAATTGGCCGTCTGCAAGGACGTTGCCCAGGGGACGCCCGGATGATTTTTGATGTTTTTATCATCCTTGTGGGAGGTTTCTCTCATGTCCCCGCATGAGGATCTGGAGCTGATAGAGGGACCTCATCCACCTCTCCCCAGATTCGAACCTGCGACCTGTCGGTCTTCAGTCCTGCCGGCACAGGGGAACCGGTGTCTAATAATATGTGGAGATTCCCACCTATCCTACCCACAGCTTTTCCATGACTAAAACAAAGGTCTGTTGAGGAAAGAAGCTCTTCACTAAATGGAGGCTAAAGGAGAAGAGGGTTTTTGCAAGCATTCTCCCTTTGCTTAAGTCCCCAGTGACTGACTGGAATAACAAAATCATGGAAGTCAAGAGCTAGTGTCTCAGATGTTTGGTAACCAAGAGGAATCTCCCAGTGATCAGGTTGAACCAATTACACGCATCCAAGAGCTTCGAGAAGGATACTGGAACCACTCGTATACTAATATTTTCTGTGGGAATGGTAGGAAAAGCAGCAATTTGGAATAGAAAAAAGCATATGGTAATTTCTGAAGGTTAGAAAGGGATCCTTGGACTGCAAGAAGATCCAACCAGTCCATCCTCCAGGAAATAAAGCCCGACTGCTCATTGGAGGGAAGGATACTAGAGACAAAGTTGAAGTACTTTGGCCACATCATGAGGAGACAGCAAAGCCTGGAGAAGACAATTATGCTGGGGAAAGTGGGAGGTAAAAGAAAGAGGGGCCGAACCAAGGGCAAGATGGGTGGATGGCATCCTTGAAGTGACTGGACTGACCTTGAAGGAGCTGGGGGTGGTGACGGCTGACAAGGAGCTCTGGCGTGGGCGGGTCCATGAGGTCATGAAGAGTTGGAGATGACTGAACGAATGAACAACAAAGAAAGGGATGGGAATGTGTGGCCTTCTAGTAGCTGCATGTTGGAATTTCCATCATCCCTCACCATTAATTACTGCAGCTAAAATGGATGTGAGTTACAGGCAAAAAAAAATCTAGGGACACAAATTCCCTATCCATCATATAAAGAGAGAGAGGAAGGAAGGAAGGAAGGAAGGAAGGAAGGAAGGAAGGAAGGAAGGAAGGAAGGAAGGAAGGAAGGAAGGAAGGAAGGAAGGAAGGAAGGAAGGGCATCATGATATATCATCCTCCCTTTCCATCATATCTATCCTAATTATGAATTGTCTAGGTAAGAAGAGTTGGTAAAGCGATTCAGAGGAGAAAGAAAGGTGGGGAACTCAGTGGGGCAAATGAAGATGTAGAAAGATGCATCTTTGGGAGAGGAACACATTCTTCTTGGACAGCTTTTGTCCAGGAGAAATTAAGACATTTCTTCAGAGATTGAAAAGCAAGTGGTACTTTGATTTTAGTAATAATGAGGAAAAGGTTTTAAAACTGCTTAGATAAAATATTTATCTGAACTACAATTTTTCAGAATTCCATAACCAACTAATGATTTCAAAACTAGTCATAAATAGTCAACAGGGTCTGTGAAGTGTTAAATGTTTTGGCTGCAGCTATGCAACACATTGTAATGGGAGATTCCAGATAGGATTGACAAGTTGCCCTGGGAAGTTTCCTCTGGCCTTGCAAGGTCACAGAAAAGCCATTGGCAGTTCCAACTACCCATCCTCAACTCCTGCCCCCTCTTCTTTTGGGCTGACGATACTGTAAAGAAGGTAGAGAAAGGGGAAGATGGCATGATTGAATGGAAGATCGGAGATATGACTACTGCTTCATATACGAGGGTTGAATGAAAAGTAATGCCTCCACCTTCATAACTCTTCAACAGATGGCAGTACTGGTATGCAGCAGGTACTAGCTTGTTCAGTAGACTCTCCCTTACAGTTCAATTTTGGTGGGAAGCCTTAGCATTGAACGGTTGTGTTGTTAAAGTGTGAAGTATGGAACCCTGTGCAGACGGTCGGTCAGTGCGACTCAAGCAACGTGCAGTCATTGCATTCCTGACAACAGAAGGTGTCACCCCAAAGGAGATTCATCAGAGAATGCAAGTTTTTTATGGTGGTTGTGTTGATGTGAGTACTGTGCATCGTTGGACATCTGACTTGCGTGACAAACAAAGAGTTGGACATCCTGTGACAGCAACCACCGAGTTTCACAAGCGAAAGGTTGACAGATTGATTCAGGACAATCGTATCACTCAGAGAGAAATTTCAAGCATAATCGGCATTTCACAAAAACCTGTGTCACATTATTGCTTTGCTTAACTATCGGAAGATCTGTGCACAATGGGTACCCAGGATGCTGATGCTTGAAATGAAAGTGCACAGACTTGAAATTTCAGAGACTGGATCTCACCACTGTACGACAGTCCAGATTTAGCACCGTCTGACATCCATCTGTTCAAAATAATGAAGGAAGATCTGCGGGGACATCATAATGCTTCTGATGAAGACGTTGAGAGAACTATGAGATTCAGGTTGTGAAAACAGAGTGTCGACTTCTTCTGTGACGGCTTCAGAAAACTTGTACATCGTTGGCAGAAATGTATCCAATTGTCTGGTGATTATGTGGAAAAGTGAATCCTTAGAGCACATTTTAAGCATTATTTCTGCATTTTAAGCATTATTTCTGCATTTGATTTATTAAAATATTCCCATCCAAACCCAAGTACCGTATATTCCGGCATATAAGACGACTGGGCGTATAAGACGACCCCCAACTTTTCCAGTTAAAATATAGAGTTAAGACGACTCCCATGCATAAGACTACACCCGCGTATAAGACGACCCCTGACTTTTGAGAAGATTTTCTTGGGTTAAAAAGTAGTCTTATACGCTGTAATGAAGATAGAGGCATTACTTTTCGTTCAACCCTCGTAGCTGTATGCTCAAAGGTGTAGAAGGCATTGCAATGTGACAATCTTAATGGTGAGAAGGTCCATGTGTTTGTTACCTAAAGCATAGTGGGGATAGGGAGAATCCAGTTATGAAGGTTGGAAGGTGATCAGTCAAAATCTTAATGATGACTATCAACTTTAAAAGCAGAGTAAGCAAATTACTCGGGGAAATGAAAATAAATGACAATACATTATTACTATGATA